GACAACCCAGCATTTCTTTGTGTCAACTTCTTATTGTCCATATTTGATCCAAAACCAGGCTAGACACCCTTATAAGTTCTGTTAAAAACCAAAAGCTGGGTAAAAAAAAAAGTGTTATTTAATTATCATTCAAAATTAATTTTTTATTAATTAAAAAAAAAAAAATTTGACAAAAAAGGCTGGGTTGGCATAAGCCAACGTTGGGTCATTGGGTTATTTCTTTAAGTTGCAATGTAATGCAATGTGTATTTACAGTGTATAGCACATATCGTGAATGGCCAGAGACCCAAAGCGCTTCTCAATCATGAAGAGTGGGTCTCTCCACACCATCACCAGTGTGCAGCATGTAAATTTAAATAACACTTTCCAACCCACTTTTTGTTCGATTTGTATTTGACCACCAATAGTAACACAAAAATCTGACATGTACTGTATCAATGATTGTTGAACTCATTCAGAAACTGAAGCTCCATTTAAAACCCCAGCTATAAATACAAGCGTTTCTGTAGCAGCTCTAAACAAGAAGAAAACACACAATGGTGAATGTTTATAGCCGTGCAGGTGTGTGAATGAGACTGAGAAGCAGCGCAGGTAAATTATTCAGCGAGTCAAACGATCAGCTCGACGTGCAGAAACAACCCGAGAGACGCTTGAGTTCGCTATATTAGAGCCTATAGACTCCAACACACAACAGCCTACAGGACTCCAGTTACTGATCATACAGGTGTGATGGAGACAGAGAAACAAATGCAGGAGAGTCACAGCCAAACTCACAAACACACTGAAATGCACAAGAGAAAACACACAAACCATCAGAAAAGAAGCAAGTTTCATAATATATTTATAATGTTGCTTAAAGGCATTGAGTTCAAATGAGATCACGGCTGTAGGTAAGGTCGCCCCCTATTGGATACAACATGCGGTGGGTTTGAATTATCTTATTTATTTGAAATAAAAAAGTTTAGTTGTGTTTTGATTAAGGTTGTAAAACATTTAGAGATTGATATACTCAGAATATTCATCATTTGTACTCGTATTACTAAAAAAAATATTAAAATAAAGTTAAAATGAATTTTAGATATGAAATAAACATGAAAAAAGCACACAAATAAAAACTTTA